GTCCTCGCTTCATCTCCCCGCACGCACCGTGACAGTTTAAAAAAAAAAATAAAATAGAATGGAATAGAATAGAACAGAACAGAATAGGTAAGTGCTAGTATTAGTTGGTCAGGTGCTGGGGAGAAAGATGTGTCTTTAGATGTTTTTTGAAAATGGCTAGAGACTCAGCTGTTCGAATTGAGATGGCACAGTCCAGAAAAAGGTCCGTGAGAGTGATTTTGTGCTTCTTTGGGATGGCACCACAAGGCGACGTTCACTTGCAGAACGCAAGCTTCTGGAGGGTGCATATGCAGAGGCTTGATAGTGCATGCGGGAAGGCCCACCAAGAGAGCATTACAATAGTCCAATCTGGAGAGAACTAGAGCTTGGACAAGAAGTTGTGTGGCTTGCTCTGACAGGAAGGGTCTAATCTTCTACCATCGAATCATCTGGTTGGGATGAGAAGTAGAGTTGAGTGTCATCAGCATAGCAGTGATAAGAAAAGCCATGCTTCTGAATGACAGATCCTAGTGACAACATGTAGATGGAGAAGAGAAGTGGTCCAAGCACTGAGCCCTGAGGAACCCCAGTAGCAAGAAGTTGTGACTTAGAAACCTCACTCCTCCAAGACACCCTGAAGGACCTACCTGAGAGGTAAGACTTGATCCACAGGAGTGCGGTTCCTGAGATGCAAGGAGGATCTGCTGGTTAACTGTGTCAAAAGCAGCAGACAGATCCAGCAAGATGAGTACTGAGGATTTGGAAGCTGCTCTTGCCAGTCTCAGGGCTTCAGTAACCGAGAGCAGGGCAGTCTCAGTTGAGTGGCCGCTTTTGAAGCCAGATTGGTTGCTGTCCAGGAGGTTGTTCTGTGCAAGAAACATAGAGAGTTGGTTGAACACAACTCACTCAAGTGTCTTTGCAATGAATGGAAGAAGGGATACCAGTATGTAGTTTTCTAAATGTGCTGGATTTAGAGAGGGTTTCTTAAGCAGTGGGGTTACCCGAGCCTGCTTAAATGCTGTGGGAAATGTACCAGTGTGAAGAGAGGTGTTGATAATGTGAGTAAGCGAAGGTATGACTGAAGAAGAAATGGCCTGAAGGAGGTGAGTGGGGATAGGATCAAGTGGACAAGTAGTAGGATGATTGGAAAGGATAAGTTTGGAAACGTCCGTCTCCGAGAGTGGAGAGAAGGAGGAGAGAGAGTGTGTATTTGTCGTTATGAAGTTATCATCATTTTGGTGCTAATTGAGATCCACTGTATGGGCTAAAAGCTGAGACATTTCTCAAAATATCTCTGTTTGTGTCTCACAGAAGAAAGAAAGTCATACGGATTTGGAACAACATGAGGGAGAGTGAATAAAGACAGAATATTCATTTTTAGGTAGACTATAGCTACTCATTCATCTAAAAGAGGGAAATGAGAAAAATATCCACTAGGTGTGGCTGTTTCTCAAAAAGAGATACACTTTAAAAGTTTGAGCATGTGTGACATTGTACATCAAATAAAGTGATTTTTCTTCATTTTGGTCAAAAAAAGAAGAAAAAATGCACACGGGGGGAGTGTCTGAAACACGTTTAGATTTGGTTTGCTGTGCACTTTTTATGGGTGTTCTATTCTATTCTATTCTATTCTATTACAATAAATATGTAATTGTGAGTTGTTATCTCACAATTCTGATTTTTTTCTTGCAATTCTAAGTTTATATCTCACAACTGCAAAAAATAAATAAATAATAATAATAATAAACAAATAAAAAGTCAGAATTGTGAGAAAAAAGTTGCAATTACCATTTTTATTTTTTATCCCGTGGCTCAAAAAAAATTAATTGTAAGATGTAAAATTACATCTTATTTTACAATAAATAAGGGGGGGGAACTGTGAGACAAAAAGTCAGTTACCTTTTTTATTCTGTGGGGGAAATAGTTATATTTAATGAAACCATGTAAAATTACTTTAAAAATGTATTTTTATAGCACACCTTACACTATATTACATTATTATAAAAATTTTCCCATATTGTTTTTAGTTTAGTAAGAGTAATGCATACAGAGTCGGGCAAAATCCCATTTAAGAGTGAGTTTGGCATGACAAGAATATGAATTTACACAAAACAGAAGGGGTTTAAGTCTGACACAGATTTTGCAACAAAACATAGATAATTACATCACTTGTTTAGCCAAATTATGCTGTTGCATTGTTATTTATTTATTGTAAAATCTTCTGGTGCCGCAGAATTTACACACTGCACCTTTAAGAAGTGATGCATAAACACAGAAACTGAATTGCAAGAAATTATGTAGTCATCTCAACTCTAGTTTCTGAGAATAGAAACATCTTATCTGTATCTTTTCAGAGCAACTACAGAGTGAAGGAGCTGGATTTGAGTCACAATCAGTTCTGCGGTGAACATCTCAGATGATTTAACATCTCAGTGAATAAGACACGCCTGATGTGTGAGAGTTAAACTTCACTACACAAAGAAAGCAAGCACCATAAATGCATGTATGTTCATGCAGCAAATAATGACGGTTTAGAAGTTCTTGATCTGAGCTGGAATCATCTGCGAATGAAAGCAGCTGTAGCTTTCTGTGCTGGACTGAAGGTACCCACACACAAACACACAGCTCACAGAAATTTCAGTGTCACACTGCAGTGCAAATCATGCAAACAGTCAAAGCTGCCTTTCCCTGTCGTCAGGTAAACACGACTTTGAAACACTTAGACCTCTCGTTTAATGGCTTTGGAAACGAGGGCGCTTTGGCTTTGGGTGAAGCACTAAAGTTCAACAATACG